AATTAGTTCGATAATTAATATATCACTAAATTAATAAACTTTTGTTAGCCTCAACTATACTAATTTATAAATGTTTAATTATATATATATATATATATATGCAAGCTAATAGTCATCCAAAGTGTTGAACATTTGGAGAGAGAGAGATCTAGAGAGAGAGAGGGAGAGAGAGGGGAATGACAGGTCTTAGGTGGGCCATTGCATGTGTGTGAGATCTAGTAGATTTGACTTTGGGACAGCAAACACACACACACACAATGACTTTGCATCACACGTTGGAACAACATTTGTTTATGATTATTACATCTATCGAAGTTTTCAATTGCTTATATATATTCAAATGTACAAGTTTTTAATGAGACAAATATCTCTATTTGTGTGAACGGAATTATTAAATAAACCATGATGCATGAGTAAACATTATTGTTAGAAAATTTTGTCTAATTAATGATTTGTCTTGGTATGTGTACGATCTTATTAACTACCTGTACTAATAATGGATTAATTAATTCAATTACATATTTTAATTGAAGCACTCTAATTATTTTGTTCCACTTATGGTAAATCAATGAAAGGGATCACTAGTGGAAAAATTGTTTTTTACTACGATTATTAAATGTATTAAAATGTATCAAATTCGTACTAAAAAAGCTTTTGCTACGAATTTGCCCCGTAGCATATACGGGCGTGACAAAAGCTTTGCTATGGTAAATGGCCGTACCAAATATTCTTTTGCTATGGTAAATCCTAGTACTTACTACTTCTTCAAAATTGTTCCGTAGTAAAAAATATCTTTTATTACGGTTTCTTACCATAGCGAAAAATTTCGTAGTAATAAGCAAATTTCTACTAGTGGATACATGGTAGATCAACGAGAGAGATAATTTATATTGTATGTATAGGCATTATATTGGCCGAGTGGTATTGGGGTGAGCAGAATGCATTAAGTCAAGGGATAAAAACCTTTTAGTTTGATTTTTGGCAATTCAAATTTAGACCAAAAAATATTTTCATTACAAATAAAGACAATGCAAATTTGGCAATTAGTGAAAAGTCCTTCTAATGATGTTCAAATGTCAATTGGGCAATTCTAAGAGTCTTTGAGCCCAATAAATTAGTAGAGAACACTGATAGTTATTGACATGTGTTCGAGGTAGTTGAAGAAGGGACGGCTCCAATAGTTGTTGCTCAAATATAGATTGTGCAACCCAAGAGTATTTGAGCATGCAAGAGTTGAAATTATCGAAGATTACTACTATGTGGTTGAGGTATTTGAGCCTGCAAGAGTATAGATATTTGTAAGCAACTTCTAATCATTTAAATCTGTGCCGATCCCCATAGGTGGCGCTTCGTGCTCTTAGGCAACTTCCAATCCTTGAAGTCGGCGGAGTGCCTGCCAGCGACCTAGAGTTTTGGCGAGAAAAAAGAAAAAAGAAAAAGAAAGAAAGAAGAGAAGATGCAATAGATTGGAGTGAATGAGAGCTTACAATTGTGGTAAATAATGTGGGTTATATAAATGGTATAGTATGTAGTTTGACAATGTAATGGGCTTATGTCAAGTTGAAAAATCATATTAGCGGCTATCACATATAAAACAAAAGATGATTGATCAATCTTAATATATCCTAATGTGTTTGGTGTTTCACTAATTCCTTAATTATAAAAAAGAAAGAAAAAATAAAAATGTGATAATTATTTGTACATCCCACTTGTAAGAAAAAATAAAAATGTGATAATTATTTGTACATCCCACTTGTTGGATCTAGAGAAAATAGAATTTATTGCATTTGATGCTTCTACATTTATTATAATTGTTATAAGATTCCCCGTATTATTTATATTATATTCAAACTTTCCTTACCCTTGAAACTAGCATTTAGGGGTTGTTTAAAAGTGCAATCATAAAGAGATTTTTGCTAATATATTACTATTATCATATGAGAATTTTAGCAATTCAGAATAATACATGATCCTGATTAGGGGTGGCAATTTCTCAATTTGGACCGGATTCGATCCGGATCCATGTGGATCGGATGCAAAAGGAACCGGATCCAATATCAACCTACATGAATGGATTTAATGTGGATCGAGTTTAGACCGATCCGGATTGGATCCACATGGATTCATTGCATCTTTAATTCAACTTATGAGGTTGAATATCTCAACTTTTAAAGTTTAATATCTCAACTTATGTGGTTTAATATCTCAAGTTTCACACATTACACA